TATTTTTCAAGGCTGTACTTTTAAAAGATGAAATTGTCCAGTGAGCTGTTTCCAAACGAAATTTCTTTTTTGTTTTACACTTGTGTAAACAAAATGACAAATAAAATCTGACTAAAGTCTAAAGATAATCACCTCATTAAGCAGCCCCTGCCAGTCGCTGTCGCTCCTCTTAGATGAATCCATCTCAGCTCTATTCAACCGAGTGAAGCTGAAAAAAAACCTTCTCAATTTCAGCTTTGCATTACTGCGTCAGTTCGGCTGAATTCAGACATTTCACATCATCAAATTGGATTAGCTGATGGAGGACGTGTTCTGCATCACTTCCGACATGGTGTCTACGTCACTGCGCCATGGTGCGTTCTTCTTCTTCTTCTTCTTCTTCTTGTTGAAATTTTTATGGCGGTTCGCAAAAACGTTAGGCGAGCATTACCGCCACCAACTGGAGTGTGGACCACATGGCAAAAAAACTATATCCTGTTATATGATTTTAACTGTTTCAAAAAACTCAAATATAAGCTGATATCTAACTATATATAGGCTGATATTTCAGACAGTAACTGTCTGAAATAAAGTTATTTATTTATCCATTCATTTGATTATTTTGGGTAAAAGCAACCTCTTATTCCATGGAGGTCTTCCACCCGTCTTTGCAGGATGAGCAGGAATCCAGAGGAATGGTCGGGTAGAATGAAATTATGGGATGGGGAGAGTTTGCAATGGCTGCAAGAAACTCTTCCCTTCCTGTTCAATTTATAAACACAGCTAGGGAGTATGGGTGAACATATTGCTGATTCAAAGCAAAGATTTACTAAATGGTACTCTGGGCAAAAAACTGGCCCTGTTTACAGTGTAAATTGATCATTGTTGGTTGAAGATCCATGGATCTAGTTGATTTTACCAATGGCTAAAGCGTCATGCCTTCATTTACTTTGCCCTTCTGTATTTAGCAGACAATGACGGTAAAACTGGCTAAGTGGCAATTACTGTGCCATTGATGTAATTATACGATAATGTCAATGCATAAATACAAATATTAATAAAAATATATTTTTTTTCTTTAGAGATGCAGGAAAAGGTAAGTTATGAATATCCTTGTTCCATAACAATCATACCGATTAATTTCTAAGAAATGTCTTTGCCACAGTGCTAGAATACGGGAAAATTGTTTATTTAGCATCACTTGATTTTTAACAAAGGCTGCCTACACCATCAATCCCAGCTTGCAAGTCTTTTTGGATCACTGTATGCCATTGATGTGTTAGTTTTCACATGTGTTGTGGGAAAATTTATATCTTTCTCTCATCTCAATATTCATATTTACTCACTATAAAAGTTTTCACTCAGTCTGTTTCTCTCTCAAGGCCACACCATTCCCTGCAGAATGTTGTTTGTAGACCAGACATAGCTTCTTCCCATAACAATCCAGATTCTTTCTCAAGGTTTATTCATAACATGTTACTGTAAATCAAACTGTGTGTAATTTGTTATAACTCTGACTGCTTTC